CCAAGATATAAGGTACCGTCTCTATCACTCAGTCACCGAAATGCCAACTATCATATCCTCTCTAATACCTATCTCCCTTTTCGAACTATTTTAGTTTTTTAAGGTTTATCTTTGGTTTTCAGATGTTACAATATTATTTTAGTCTATTTTGAATTTTTTGAACTCGAGTAGCAGTTTAGGCAAAGGGAACCAAGTTATCTGCTTACAACAGTCACTAACAATAATAATAATAATAATAATAATAATAATAATAATAATAATAATAATAATAATAATAATAATAATAATAATAATAATAATAATAATAATAATAATATAATAATAATAATAATAATAATAATAATAATAATAATAATAATAATAATAATAATAATAATAATAATAATAATAATAATAAGCAAATAATTAAATAAATAAATAAATCATTAAATTATCAATAAAAGCATGATGTTTATGCCATTGAATAGTTGGCGTCATAAATTTATTTTGAAACCAAGCATTTGTAAATTAAATAACCGCTGCCATTAATTACAATACCGATATATTAATTGATCTATTTTGAAAATGTTACTGTATAAAATTCGGATCTTCTCACAATAAAAAAAAATCTTGTAATGAAAATTATTCTGAAGATAAGGTACTGACGAGTACATCTTAAATGCATCTAACTTGTCTTGATTATAATTATAATTCTTTGTGATCATTGTTTTACCGTAAAGCAAATTTTAAAGATTTGGAAAAGAAGGAAATAAAATAAAATTTGAAAGTATATTATTGATAGCAGCAAATAGAAACTGTATCCTGAATAATTATGGCAAACTATTGCGTTAGTTACTGGCAAATTTATAAACATGAATGAGATGTTGGAATTTCAGTATCACATCGGGACCGGATTAGAGTGAATCCGAATGATATGGACCTATACATGTGGCGTCATCTGCTTGGAAGATAATCGACGTATGAAGATTATTACCTGGACATTAAATAACCAACTTGTGCTGATGTGCCATAAAACACCCAAAACAAACCGAATACAAATTCCACAGGTCAGAAAATGACAGCAGAATTTATGATCGAGTTATTTTTAAATCAGGCAAAGAGAAAAATGTTTCAACACTTGTCTTTTTTTAATAAGTTTAATCTATATTACAGTACCATGATGGTGAACAAAGTTACGACAAGAGAAGAACGGCTAGGAAGTAGAAATTGTGCACAGAAATCAGGTGTGTTTAGACTGCATGATGATAAATGCTGATTTGATAAACTTTATAAAAAGAAACTTAAATTACAAAGTTCTAAAGGATCACGTTGCTTCTGACAAAACAGGGTGTGAATTAGACAGTTAATTTAGCAAAACCTGAAATTACGTGGAAACTACATTACATTTAAATGACAGAATAGCTACCAGTAATAATTAACAAAGAAACAAAAAAGATTATAGAAAAAAAAATCAGAAAACATTTACTTGTAAATGAAGAGTTCTCGTTTTGTTTGTTTGATACAATGCAGGAACATCGAAATGACGTTCAGTTACCAATTTCCTTTATTTTTATTTTTCAATCGGTATGTATTTATTTGTTGGTAGTGCATATCTTATGTGAATACTTAAAACCAAATTAGGAAACAGACAAACATTGTATTTAAGTTTACAATTCCCAATGCTCTGAACAATTTTTCAGAAGAAATTTCGAATACGAGAGTATTTTCCACCAGTCCTTGTCGCTCATCAGCATGGTAACCATTTAAACGGATTCCGTCTGCTGTCCCCTTCTAATATGCTTGCAATATGTTTGCAAAATTGCAAACGAAGCTTGAATCCACTTCATTCTTCGCTCCTTTAGTATATATTTTCCTTCTTGTCTTCCTGTTTCTAGTCCTATGCAGTGTATTTATCATTTTCAATCTAACAGAACGCATGTCTATCTTTTCCAGTCTAGCTTAACGCTTACTACTAAAGCTAAAAAATGTATTTCGACGTACAATATTTTTCTCTTCTTCGACATTGTTTTTTTTTTAATTATCTACTGCTTTGTTATGTTTTCTTTTGTACACTGAAACCTACCAATACTGGACACTAGGGAGACCACCAATTTTGTCTTTGGTCATATAGTAGTTTATTTAACATCCAAGTGTCATTGTGTAAAAATCGAGTCAACTTGTTATTATTCCGCCAGGAATTTGCTTGCCTCTCTTCAAGGTCAAACAGTTCCAATGAATGTAAATTATTTTCTCTGGCAACGTAAATATACAACATAATCAAAATGCTAATTTGTTCAGGATAGTTAAAGAAATATATAAAGGATTTCTAACCAGTCAACTGACAATAAAAGTCTACAATCTGAGTACGCGCTTTTTAAACAGAGGTTGTTTCCTCCAAATGATTCATGGAATTTGTTTTTTCTGTCGTAAACGACAGTTTCACCCGATTTTAATTACACGTACATTGCATGCACATAACGTAATTTTCTGCTCAATGTGGATAACACATATAATGGAAACTATTACTATCTGTACTTTAGTTCCGTTTAATCTAAACATTCTAATCTTAAAAACTATAACTCTTTTCTTATCCATTTTAAGTCATAGTTTCACCGATTTTTTTAGTATTCTTTTGTTTTGAAAATTGTATATGACTTGAGCTGTTTTCTCGTTACTCCTATATTGTTTCAATGCCATTATATTGGCATGGATTATCATACAAAGACAGACAAATTTAAGTATTGACTTAAATTGTCATTGTATATGACTTAAGCTGTTTTCTCGTTTCTCCTATATTGTTTCGATGCCATTATATTGGCATGGATTATCATACAAAGACAGACAAATTTAAGTATATGCTAGACTAAAAAAGAGAGAGAAGAAAATGCCTACTAATACAGGTAAAATTAAACTAAAATGTGATCTCGGTAGAATCCATTGGATGATTAGCTGACATGAAAACCATATCATAATAATTGCCTCAGTGTATTCCATTTCCAATCAAATGTGTGCTGCTACTTTAATAAAATATTAGCTCCAAATAAATTCAATATTAAATTCACCTAATGAACAGATATCACCATATGTTTCTATTTCATGTTAATGTCTATGACACAGTTGGCTTGTAAACAAAATCCCGGTGTGCCCCACAACTTTGAAACACTACTTTAATTCGCATTTCGCTTGAAGGAGAAGAATATCAGTTAAAAACTAAGTTTTGACAGGTAGGAAACGTAGAGAGTGATTGATACGAAAAGTATGAAGTATATATTGTGTTGCTAAAATATTGAAAAACAGCGATCAAACGGATAGGCCTGTCAGAATAACATCGCGACTCTAAATCACAGCGCCCCCTGGTGTGTTCATCAATGGCGCCACCTAGGGATGAAAGATGGATGTGACAAGAGTAAATTTAACTGATGCGGATTTTAATGACTTTACTTGATACGATATATCGTAATCAGTCAACCATTACTGGAAGCTTTTCGATTTTAAGGTATTAAATTAGATACCAATGGAATTGATTATAGAATTAGTCTCGGAAAAAGTGAATTCATTGACCCGCCCTGAAGTAAGTCCTAACCTTACATATTGAAAATATGACATATAATCATAACATTAGCATAAAGTTGTGCCTTTTTGATTAAATATCAGGTTTTGAAAGCTGAGTTACAAAGAAAATCACTCGAGATGGAATGTGGGACTCAGAGTTAAATGAATGGGGCTTATTGTACGGTAATAAACTCGTTACTTTTCTACTTATGATGCGCTTTAGTGCTCTACCGAAAGAGAAAAAAAATAGCAAGATTATGGAAAAACAATTCAAATGCATGTTGCAAAAAATGCGATTGAGTAAGGAAAGGGAGATAATTCACTAGCTGGATTGACGAATTTTCATCACATTCATCGTCAATGCGGACACATTATAAATAATGTACGAGCAAAATGTTGCTTGCTAATTCATGACTTATTGGAACAAAGCAGCTGACATTACTAATTGCAAAAGTATGCAGCTAGTCGGCACGTGTGTTCATTTAATTTCAGTTTTAAAACGTTCGGTCACACGGATGTATGTATGCGTGCGTGCGTGCGTATGTATGTATGTATGTATGTATGTATGTATGTATGTATGTATGTATGTATGTATGTATGTATGTATGTATGTATGTATGTATGTATGTATGTATGTATGTATGTATGTATGTATGTATGTATGTATGTATGTATGTATGTATGTACATATATGCATACATGAATACATACATACATGAATACATACATACATACATGAAATCACACATACATGCATACATACATACATACATACATACATACATACATACATACATACATACATACATACATACATACATACATACATACATACATACATACATACATACATACATACATACATACATACATACATACATACATACATACATACATACATACATACATACATACATACATACATACATACATACATACATACATACATACATACATACATACATACATACATACATACATACGCTAACAGGTATACGTATACATTCTGTTACTTGTAAAATAGCAAGATATAATTTTATAACAGCTTTGTTTATGGTACAAGAAAAAGCTTGCCAGTAGCTTCTCCTTTGTTGTTAGTTCTTTCTGTGGTTTTCCCGGGTTCTACTTTCATTATTTATTCTGGCCACCATGTAGAGCCTATCATGTGCTGAAAATGGAGTTAAACCATACAACAATAACAACAACATATACACAAACGTCTTGATCAATGAATCAATGCCTATATAATCTTTTATATACATAAAATTATGTAATATATATATATATATATATATATATATATATATATATATATATATATATATATATATATAATATTTGATTAAAATAACATGTACTAAGGTCTCTGCAGTCTCTTCCTGCTCCTTTGTCAATGATACCAATTTGGAATACTGAAAATACGAAATATGTTTAGACGTGATTAGTGCTTTCAACTTTGGAGAGCTGCTGAAGCTCAATTGGTAGAACGTCGGATTCGCAATCCAAGGTTGCGGGTTCAATAGTAGCCACAGTTAGACTCCCGCAGCGTGCCCTTAAGAAAGGCACCTAGATCTTATGTCAGTACCAAAGTGTAGCGAACGGTGTACTCAAACAGCCGTTGGAAACCAACAAAAACAAGCACAATAAGTCTATAAAAAAAATTTAAAAAAGAACATTTTTAGCGTATTGACATAAGTGAAATTTATGCCTGAAATTGTGCATTAAAGTCACCAAAACTGGTATTTGAAACAAACAGCGCATTTATGAATTTTGGCTAAGTTTAACCCGTTACAGAGGAAAGGGAACACATAGGTAAATTGCCAAAATAAGATAAATGGTATAAGCATAGGTACATGTAATCAACTTCTAAGAGATGCTTCTTGTGCAGATGTATATGAAAATATGTCGGTGTAATTGAATTTGATGTTATTGATGATAAAGATGACGTTTACGATGATTTTGTTGTTACTTTTGTTGTTCTTTGATAATGATTATGATGTCGATGACAACGAATATTATTATCATCATCATCATCATCAACAACAACATTATTATTATTATTATTATTATTATTATTATTATTATTATTATTGTTGTTGTTGTTGTTGTTGTTGTTGTTGTTGTTGTTGTTGTCATAACTTTTTGACGTGTATTCTCTCTTAATAACAGACAACTTCATACTCCAGATATTTTTTTATAAACTATTACATTTTGAAAATACAAAGAAAAACGCGTGATGTTCTTTCACGGTTTTTCTCTAAAGTCGTCACGGCTCTAATTTTTAACAACCAGAAAAGAACAGTTTTTTTATGCATCAAAGTATATGCTGACTTTGTTGTCTCACATTTCTGGCATTTGCAAAGTATAAATGGAACCGAGCTGTGTGCTACAGACAATACACATAAATTACTACGTCTGAAGACAGATCTTCCATCCCTTACATCCCTACGAAACTTCGCACCTGTGTTACAATTCGTAAACTGCTATTATTAGGTGAACTAAAATTTCTATTACATTTTGTCTTTTGAACATTTGTATAGTTCTTGACTATTTTTCAGTCATCAGCGTAATGGCTTAATATAAGGATAGGCAATTGGAGGCGTATTTTATAACCCATTATTGTAGTGATTCTGTAGAATTAAGCACGTGTCTGATTAAAATATCCACCACTCGATTTTACAGTATCTAATATAGCCCATCAAAACATTCCAACACGGTATTACCACTTCAAATGATTCCAACCTATCAAATCCCATTCCAACAAATTGCTTACAAGATGCTATTCACTTGCTACAATTGATTCTCTTGAACAACCATTAAGTACATAGCTATTTTTAATGCACTCTTCCAATTGTTCTGCCATTCAATCTGTCGGGTTAATTGTTCTCATTTAAACTAATTTGTCGTCAAATACATTCAACCGGTAGACCTTGCTTCGGGCATTTTTTTCACCGGAACGCACCTGCTTTTTGAAGAGTCTCGGTTAGCCTTGTATGACGTTGATTGCTGTATTTTTCTAGACAGTTTGTTCAAAATGAGAAGTGGTTACAATTGCTTTTATGAAGCTGTGAAGTAATTGAGAGTGTTTCCAAGTAAACATAGAATTTTCTCAAGTGATTTCAAGGCAGGCAATAAGCTTTCAATTGCTCACTGTGCTAGCTTTTGTAATAAAAAATCGTTGACAAACACAGTAAAAACGGGGAAAGCAACAGTTACAAGATCTTGCAATTTTACAGATATTCTCACTCACATTTATGACGATTGTGCTGGAAGTTCCTATGTAATTACGTATTTTTCTAAATTATTTTCGTTATATATCATATCATATCATATCATATCATATCATATCATATCATATCATATTATATTATATTATATTATATTATATTATATTATATTATATTATATTATATTATATTATATTATATTATATTATATTATATTATATTATATTATGACAGGCACTGTAGAATGGATAAAAAGTAATTAATGGTTTTCATATTATTTATTTTTACAATCATATGTATAGTTAAAATAATGAACAAAACTGTGAAGGCTCATGTGTGTATTTATTCCGTAATGTTAATAAAAAGGATGGAAGGATGGAACTACATTTTATACAAATAGATCTATAAAAGTTTCGGACAAGGCAAAAAGATCTACATTGATGACGGGGAAATATCTATATCAAATTAACTCCTTGATTAAATAGATGCACGCATATATTCGTTCATTCATTTTATTAATGATTCGTCTAATAATATTGTGTTTATATTCATTTGAAGAAATAGCATTAAATTATTAAAGATGATAGAATCCAAAAAAGCCATTAAATGACTAAAGAATAAAAAAAAAATTTCAGAATTTGTCTCCAACCGATTTTGTTTCTGAAATAAGGTAAAATAGGTTTATAAGTTTTGAAAAGATAAAGAGATTTTATCATGGCCTTGAAAATTTCATTAAGCGCAAATACAATTTTTAAAATTGTATTTAAACCTCTGGTGTTTTCGCCTATACAATCCATCCATCCATCCATCCGTCCGTCCGTCCGTCCGTCCGTCCATCCATCCATCCATCCATCCATCCATCCATCCATCCATCCATCCATCCATCCATCCATCCATCGATCGATCGATCGATCGATCGATCGATCGATCGATCGATCGATCTATCTATCTATCTATCTATCTATCTATCTATCTATCTATCTATCTATCTATCTATCTATCTATCTATCTATTGTACGGATACCTCCAGTATCAAGTCAAACAATGCTCTCATTTTGACTTTAGTTTACCATCAAAATAATTAAGGGTCTTACTGGATCACAGAAAGGCAATCTTCACAGCGGATTTTCTTAAAATGTTAACATGTGCATTATACATTTTTTGTGTCAAGCCCTACTAATATTAGCAAAATAACATTCAGTGTCATTCGTTTCAGGAACCATAAAAAGTCAAATAGATTTAAAGATGCTGAAAGTTTAGTTTACCTTGACTCATTATGTTTTTCTTCCAGTAAGGTCAATATTTTTTAAATAATCGCACGAATTCCATTCAAGAAAGTGTCACTATCGTACTTTGCAGTTGTGTATTGTATTCTTGTACGGTACATATTCATTTAATTTCAAATATATGACGGAATCTCTTTCGTATACGTGTATGTATGTGTATCTCCGGCACTCAAAGGATTAGCCAGAAATCCCTGAACACTCGAGTTAATCACGTTGTAAGCGTCACGTCACGCAAAGACTCTACTTCATTTTAGCCTCTCATGTCGTTCTGTGTGTAACCAGGCACGGGACTAGTACACGTCCCGGCAATTCTTAAAGTAGAAAAATATGTCGTCAACACTACATTTGCATGCTTCACTTAACCTGAGGCTTTATAGGAGATTAGATTTTTTTGTGAACAAGCCTCCATTTATGTTCAATATTACCGCCATTTCTTTACACGTTATATGAAGAAACAGGACAGCTATTATTATAGAAGTGTTTTCATTATTGGAATCAGCTGAATGACCAAATGGACTGAAGATTCAGGCTCGACCATTATTGTGTTAAAGGGCTCTACGACTATAGAGAGCGCTCGTAGTGTCAATTGATTATTTAAGACGCCGCGGGAGTCGCTCTTGCAGCCCGATTGGCCCATGCATAGTGCACGTGCATTTCTGTCGGTAGCATCTGTCGGTAATAGAAGTATCTGGCACAAACGCGCATTAAGACCACCGGTCTCAGTTCATCGTTTGGAAATCTAGAAATATGAGCCCTTAAATAGGATTTACCCGATCAATTGTGTGTGTGTGTGTGTGTTTTAAGATTGAACATCACGTCAATTTGCAGAGCGTCGTCTTTGACAAGATCGAAGGCGGGAAGGAATATGAGAATCGGAAACATACATGGTTTTATTCATCCCTGCAGTTAATTATGAGTTAGTCAACGAGAAAAATATAATTTTCATTTTAAAACTGTACGTATCAAAAATAATTTTAAGAAAACGTGCAAGATTCTTGTTCGAGAAAAAGATTAATATGTTGCATTGTTCTTTTGAAGTTTTATTAAACCAAATACCTATTTCCTGTTCGTCTTGTACAGAAGGAAGTATCTAGATTGGGGAAAGGAGTTTTGAGATTTCCGGATCTCACAGGGTATAATCGACCCCTCCCCCCCCACACAAAAAAAGGCATACACACAAACGTCACTTGTGACTTGAAATTTGAGCATGGGTTTTATTCTTGCACTTATTTATTTGGTATTATGTACACTTTGAGTAAACAGACACATTAGACTTTTGTTGTGGTGCCCTTTCGGGGAATCTCAGTACCCTTTTAAAATTCTGGAAGCCCATTCCCTCCCCCCACACACACACACACACACACACTTGACCTGGTAAATTCTGACCTACTCAGAAGTTATATATAAAATATTGTATACTATGGCAAGTTTAATTTTGTAACAAGTATAGACCGTTTTACCATTATGTTCAACAATATAAGTATCTATGACAATTTCGGACGATATTTTTGTTCACTTCTCTAAATCCAATTTTTGAATGATCGGAAATTGTTACCATGCTTCACAAACAAATATGGCGTATTCTTCAACGAATAATACGCGTGCTACTTTGACTCAATACCTGATCTGCTTCAGAGGACACAAGTGCCATGCGCCAGATGACGTCATATTAATTTTTTTTTTGAAATACTAAATCTTTAATGCATTATCCCACGGTAACTGATGTTTTATGGTGTTGTTTGTTGGGGCACATAGAGACTTAAGCTAGGGTGCTTACCCACCAGATAACACTGCAAGAGACAGTTCCATCGGGAAATGAGAGCTGAACAATAATAGTCCACTGTACTCTCGTCCTTACTATATATCTCCTTGATTATCATGTAGACTCGCTGATTCAGACTACAACATTTTGCCCGAAAAATCAGAAGAAATTCAAAATATCGCTAATGCAAATGAAGAATTTCTTTATTTCCTATGTTGAGGAAAACACTCCCCTAACCCTCAACCGGTCAAACTAAGAGTTTCACAAGGATGC